CCAAGATTGATCTAAGGAGTGGATATCATTAGATTGCAATAGATGATGCATCTATCTCCAAGACAGCATTCAACACAAGCTTCGGACATTTTGAGTTTACAGTTATGCCGTTTGGTTTGACAAATGCACCAGCCACATTTACTCGGTCAATGACGATGGTATTTAGGCATTATCTTCATGAGTTTGTGGAGATTTTCCTGAATGATATTCTTGTTTTTAGCAAGAATATGGAGGAGCATAAGATGCATTTACGCAAGGTTCTTTTGTTACTCTGAGACAACAAACTTTATGCGAAGAAGAGCAAATGTGAATTTGCAAAGTCGGAGGTGGAATATTTAGGCCATATTGTAACATCTAAGGGTGTCAAGACGGATCCAAGAAAGGTGGCTGTGGTGGAAAACTAGCCTACACCGACTACAGTGGCTGAGTTGCACAATTTTTTTGGTATGGCTAGTTACTACTAATGTTTCCAGCATAAGGTTGCAGAGGTGGCTATTCTTTTGACACGGTTGTTATGCAAGAATGTGCCATTCGAGTGGAAGAAGTCACAAGAGGAGACTTTTGTGGCGCTGAAACGATTGTTAAGTGAGACTCCAGTGCTTCACATTGCTGATCCATCGAAACCTTATGAGGTGACATGTGATGCGAGTGGTTATGCATTGGGAGGAGTTCTCATGCAAGAGGGACAACCTATTGCATATGAGAGTCAAACTTTGAATTCTAGGGAGCAACACTATTCCATATATGAGCAAGATTTACTCTCTATTGTTTATGCTTTGCAGACGTGGTGGCACTATCTTTATGGTGCAGTGTTCGTAGTGTTGACAGATCACAAACCATTTGTGTATCTTTTCACACATAAAGAGTTGAACACTAGGCAAGCTCGTTAGATGGTTAAACTTATGGAGTTTGGGGAGTTTCCTATTGAGCATCGTCTGGGAAAATCAAATGTGGTGGCAGATGCTTTATCTCGTGTTCGTCATATGGCGACGTTACAAACACAATTTTGTCATCATTTGAGTAAGGTGGTCAGCGAATTTGGGCAATTGGTTGAGCATGCTCAGGCTCAAGATGCTAAGATACCCTCTTTGCGAGACCAGATGAAAGCCCCTTTCTCATTGGTGGATGGGATTCTCTACTACAATGGCCATGTATATTTGCCATGGGTGGATGTGTTAATTACTCAAGTTTTATTCCACTAAAATCCAGAGGCCGGTCATTTTGGGGGAAAGAAGATGTATGAGTTGATTAAGTGCAACTTTTATTAGAGGAATATGAAGGTTGATATCCTCAAGTATTGTAAATCATGCGAGCTTTGTCATCGGGTTAAGGTGCCACGGGAGAAGTCGGGGGGACTTTTGCAACCTTTACCTATTCCTCAGAGTCGTTGGTGTAGTATCTCTATGGACTTCATCATTTGTTTGCCACGAACACAAATGCAAAATGAGCAAGTATGGGTCATAGTGGATCAGTTGATAAAGTATGTGTGGTTGTTGGCTTTTCAAAAGACTGTCACTACCTCAGACTTGGCTGCGGTTTACTTAGAGAAGGTTTTTTCCTGATTTTGGTTTGCTAGAGGACATCATTAGTGATTGAGATTCAAAGTTCACTAGTGGATTTTGGAAAAGCTTTGCAAAGGTTGTGCAAGTGACTTTGAAACTCTTGAGTGGAAATCATCTTCAGACATATGAGCAAACCGAGCGTGTGAATCAGGTGGTGGAGGATATGCTACATTGTAGCATTGGTTAAAAGCAAGGATAGTGGGATTTATATCTTCCGTTGGTACAATTTGTTTATAACAATAGCCAACACAATGGAACCAAGCTAAGTCCTTACTTTGCCATGTTTGGAAGGCATCCTCAAACAGCGGTGGAGTTGGGATTGCATTTGAGTAAGGACGTTCAAGATAAGCTTGATTCCAAGGCAACTGATTTAGCCACAAAACTTGATGAGATTCTGGTCGTGTGCAAACAGAATTTGTAAGCAGCTTAGGATAGAGCGGAGAAGTTTGCTAATGAGCATCGCCAATTCCAGGAATATAAAGTGGGTGATCTCATCTTTGTGTGGGTGATCTTTCCGTCAAGTGAGCGGTAGAACACCTTAGTGCCTTTATGGACAGGGAAGAGTGATAAACTTTTCTATCGATATGCTAATCCATATAAAGTGCTGGAGCGCATTGGTAAAGTAGCTTATCGGGTGTGGTTGCCAATTAGGGTGAAAATTCATCCAGTATTTTATGTCAGCTAGTTGAAATGTGTACTATCTCGGAGTGACGGGCACAATGCCTCCTTGATGTATATAGCTGTGGATGGACCAAGAGCTTGAGCAGGGTTCCCCAAAAAGGGTGATCACCGGTACAACTTGTCCTTGGGACAAGGACTTTGTTGGGGGTGAAGAATTGTTAGGCATTAGCTTTGACCACGTGGTCAACGTCGGTCAAAGGGAGACTCAAGGGTATATTAAGGCATGTTAGCGTAAGGGACTTAACCTACCCTAGGGCTTATAGTGGAGTGGCAGCGCAATAGAGCTTTTGAGGTAGCTTGAGGGTGGTTGGGTGGTGAGGAACTTTAAGAAGTGGCATAGCATAGTCTAGGGTTGCTAGATCTTTGTCTTTTGATGCCGGATCATAATAGGTGAATTGCTAAACAATATTTCCTTTTGTGGTTATTTATTCCAAATTTTTTTCAGGTTTTCTCTATGACTAGCTTGATGGGATGTATAGTTTACAATACAACTTTTTAGCAGCTGATAAAGAATTCCTGCTAAAAAAAAGGAAAAGCCAAAAGTGCAATGTTATATGGAAATAAGCTCCTTGAAATTACTACCACTCTCTACATATCAGTGAGTATTTAAAGAGCAATGTTTTAATGCATAAAACATATCAAGTTTATTTATAAAAAATTTATGAGGTTGGATAATGGTTTAAACATTCTTGCCAAACAAATTAAAGTAATGGTTATAATGTTTAACATAGTCATTGTCAGTTATGATGGTAAGTGTTTCATTATGCTTTTTGGTTGTGCTTTCTTGGATGTTAATGCTAAAGATGATAAATGTTTAAAATTGTTTTTAGTCCATGAATACAAAAAGGAGTGGAATGTATATAAACATACTAGGATTACACTATAAAAGATGCCAAAAAAGTTAAATGTTAAAAGTGAAAGAGTGGAGTTATAACAAAATAAGCATGGAGATTCTAAATATTTTAAGTCTTCTTTTTTATTTTGCTAGCTTTAACTTTTTTAAATTCCTAAAAAAGCTAAAGCTAATTGGTAAGTCTTGATTTTGAAAATTCTAGCTCTTTGCAAGTTATCTTTTATATTATTAAGTGTAGATAAATTTTTAAACATGTTTATGATTATAAATTTCAATTTGATCAATTGGATTTATAAATAAGAATAACACTACTATAAAGATGAGTAGAAGATTATTTATTTTGAATCTCTTTTATACCAAATGAATATTTCTAAAAAAATGTCTACATATTCTGTAATAAAAAATGAAATGATATGTGAAATAAACACTTTTTAAAATATTTACACATTTTTGTAGCAATCCTTCTTTTTTAGCTTCACAAATGATTGTAGAAGTAGCATAAAGTGGTGACATCATTGAATCTCCTTGCCACTCTTTATAGTGGTAATTTACATAATGTTTCAAAATGGTTATTTTTATGTAGGCAATGCAAATATATTGAGTTCATTTATAAAGAATTTATGGGGTCGAATAACAGTTTCAACATTATGTTCTATTATGGTTTTTAACAGTGCTTTTTTGGATATTAACTTGTTTTTATTAAAGGTAATAAAAGCCTAAAATTATTTTTTGTTTGTGAATACAAGGAGGAATGGAATATATATAAGCAACCTAGGTAAATATGGATTAGGTAAAAATGGATAAAACTATTGGAAGGAGTTCCAACACAGAATTAAACATACTATAATCATACCAAAAAAAATGCTAATAAAGTTAAATGTTAAAAAAATAAGTACAGAGATTTATAAGTATTTTAATTTTTTTGAGTCATTTTTCTTACTTTAAATTTCTTATATTTCTGAAAAATCTGGAAGCTCATTAGTAAAGTCTTAGTCTTGAAAATTCTGGAAAATGTTATATTACACAACGGTATGAAACAAAACTTGCTAATATAAAAGAAATAAAGGAATTATTACTTAATGCACTTGGGAGTCTTGAAAGGAGCTAAAGAAAAAAGGAAAAAGGATAAAAATTTAAAATTATTAATATAAAATAATCATAATTACAGATTATATATTATAATAAATAATAATTTTTGCAACTTAATTGTTTTCATGTTTTGCAAACCCACATTCAAGGCAACAACAACAACTATTTCAAGTCACATGGACCACAAAGGGCATTTTGAGGGACATGTACATAGCAAGGTGGCGGTGATGAAGGGGGATTTAGAGATAGTAGCAAATACTCTACTGAAAAGATACATGCCTTTATGTGACTTTGTAAATGCCTCTTGTATCTTATTGAAATTGTGAGTATGTCATCCACAGTGCTTTCTTCTATCAAGCTTCCAGGAGAAACACCTGACCCTGGACATAATAGCATGTTGTTGTGTATGCTACTATCATGAACTTTCACCACCCATGTGAGGTTTTATCCAGTAACTCTCAGGGAAGGATATTTATTATCTTATGTAAATACACAATATTATTAACACTTAATTATCTGTGACAAAAAGAATCCCGGGTTCAATTCCTGGCATCCCCATACGCTCTTTTATCTTTTTGATCTGTCCAATATGGATGAAAAGGAGGCTATGATCGCGCTGCGATGGGCTGAGAGGTGCGGTATACAAGACGCATCGCCGCTATACTCATCTCTCCTCCGCCAATGCTGCTCCTCGCGATCTCTCCGCCTGGGTAAGCTCATCCATTCGTCAGTCCAGCGAGCGGGGCTTGAAAGCGACACCTTTCTTGCAAATCTTCTCCTTCATATGTATACCGAGTGCGGAAGAATCCGCGATGCATGCTCCGTGTTTGATGCGATTGCCAGGAAGAATGTTTTCTCGGGAAACTTGATGATTGCGGGGTATGCCCGTGCAGGGCATCTGCGGGAAGCGAGGATGGTCTTTGAGGAAATGCCTCAGAAGAGCACAGTGTCGTGGAATTCGCTCATTGGAGCGTTTTCTCGGTCTGGACGACCGATGGAATCGCTGGTACTGTTTTGGACGATGAATCTGGAAGGTGTAAGGCCTAACAGTGTGACTTTCATGGCAGCGATCGAGGCTTGCACTTCAATGGAGGAGATTTCTCACGGCCGGTTCGTCCACGCTGTTGTTCTAAGCTGCGAGGGGGAGGCAAGCGTTGGAGTGATGAACGCGCTCATCAACATGTACGGGAAACACTCGAGAGTTTCCGAGGCGAGGAAGACTTTTGCCTCCATTTGCAAGAGCCACCGGGATGTGATCTCGTGGAACAGCATGATTGCAGCCTACGCTCGAAACGGTCGTCTCCAGGAAGCCAAGGATACGTTTGACGCCATGGATCTCGATCGAAACACCGTGACTTGGAACACGATGATCGGTGGCTACGCACAAAGCGAATCCGCCGGAGCTGGTGCTTTGATCATGCTTGCCTTGATGGACCAACAAGGAATCCATCCAAACGCGTGCACTTTCATCAGTGTTTTCGATGCTTGCGCTCGAATCTCCGCTCTTAGGCAAGGCCGACTCGTTCACTCTCTCTTGCTCGAGGGCCCCGGAGCGGAAGATCACTCGCAACACCACCTCGAAGTTGGAAACTCGATCATCCACATGTATGGGAGCTGCGGCTGCTCTGCGGGGGCGGAAGAAACTCTCCATCGGATGCAATCCCGGACCGTTGTCTCGTGGAGCTCTCTCGTCGCAGCTCACGTCCAGGCCGGAGATCTCTCGTCCGCTGTGACAAGCTTCCACAAGATGGCCATGGATGGAGTCCTTCCCAACGAGGTGACCTTCCTGGCCCTTCTAAGTGCTCTCGGCCACTCGGGCGATGTGAAACGAGGCTGGAGTTTCTTCATCTCAATGCACCACGATTACGGATTGGTGTGGGGAATAGACCATCTCGTTTGCACCGTGGATCTGTTTGGGCGAGCTGGGCTGATCGAGCAGGCCGAGAGGATCGTTCTCAGCAGCTCCTTTGCCCGATCGCCCGTGCCATGGATGGCACTGCTGAGCGCTTGCAAGAGCAGCCGCAATCCAGGAACCATAGAAAAATCCGGGACCGTCGCCAGAACAGCGCTGGAGCTCAACACCGCCAAGTCGTCGCCCTACGTCCTCGTCTCCAACGCGTTCTTGGACGATCTTTCGTACTTTCCCGGCGCCCGGACTTTACCGTACCAACCGCCACCGCCGGCGGCTCCGTTAGTTAAAACCCACCTCGGTTAGTTTGACGAAGAACCATTTTCTAGGGCAGGGATTCTAGGGTTTGTGGCGGCCCAGCGGCAGCGGCAGCGCCATCGCGTGAGGAGCGATGCTCTTGGATTGCCTGCGTAGCAATGGGTAGCTCGCAGCATCGGTGCGTCTTTGGTGAGTAGTGCGCCCGCGGCGGCCGTCGATTCTTTCACTCCTCCATTCTTCCATTTCGCCGTGAGCAGCGCCCTGATTGGGGGTTTTTGTGGTGTGGCAGTCGGCAATATCCCTTACGACGCGACAGAGGAGCAGCTCATTCAAATCTGCGAGGAGGTCGGCCCAGTGGTTTCCTTTCGGTGCGTCAGAACTACACACACAGTGGTTTTTCATCCTCTTTTTTGTTGGAGATCCTACCGCTGTATACGCGACACTACTTCGTTTCAATATGACTTATTGGTCTATTCTTGCGGTGTCTTGTTCTTCGCGTCCTTCGCGTTCTTCCTTCGCTCTTGGTTCTGTGTGTCTAGAGCGTGTGTACAGTGTTGCCTATGGATTCAAAGACCACACTTGTGTTTTTCTTTCTTCTCTTTGATTGAGCCCAAGAAGAAAGCTTGCAGCTCTCTAGTGAAGCTTAGGATCTGACTTTGCGCGTCTTTGAGCTGGGAACTGATTGGAAGTTCTTTTTTCTCTCCAGATTGGTAACCGACAGGGAAACTGGCAAGCCAAAGGGCTATGGCTTTTGTGAGTTTAGGGACGAGGAGACCGCGCTAAGCGCTCGACGCAACCTCTCCGGCTATGATCTAAACGGCCGCCAGCTCCGCGTCGATTTCGCCGAGAACGAGAAAGGCAGCGGCGGTGGCGGTGGTGGTGGTGGTGGCGGCGGCGGCGGCGATAGAAACAGGGACCAAGTAAGGAACTTTTCCCTTCGTCTCTCTGAGGAAAAAACTATGTTTTTGCTTACAGGGAAGGGGTGGCTCGGCAAACAATCCTGGTAAGATCTTATGATAATAAAAACGCGTCTTTTTTTGTTCTGATTCGTTTCGCGCAGGTGATGCTATAGGATTCTCAGCCGCTGCTGCTGCTGCCGGTGTTATGGCTGGAGCACTGGGCTCCCAGATCCCATTGATGGCCACTCAAGGTGGTCAAAACGGTGGTAACCTCCCTGGGAACGATGCTCTCACCAGCCATCTCGCAACCATGTCCAAGCAGCAACTTTACGAAACCATGGTTCAATTAAAGGTATGCTTTTTCCGCGTAGTATTGCTTGACGAACTGGCGGCTTTTGTGTTACAGCAACTCATTCAACATGACCAGCAGCAGGCTCGCCAGCTACTAATAACTCATCCTTCATTGACAAAAGCTCTCTTCCAGGTTTTGTTTAAAGAGGCCCTGTCCTTCTTTCCTTTTTGAGACCTTTCGAGTCGTGAGCTGACATTCAGCTGTGTGTTGCAGGCCCAAATAATGCTGGGAATGGTCCGACTGCCGCAGTCGAGGCAGCCGCCGCTTCCTCCGGCCTCTGCTCCGCCGTCCACATTTATTCCTCCGGCGTACTCGCAGCAACCGGGTGGGATTCCTCAGCAGCCACCTTTGCCGCAGCAGCCCAGGCCTCCTCCAATGCCACCAATTGCTCCAGCTCAATCGATGAACTTCCAAGGTCCACCATTCGGGGTAAATGTTCTTCCTCCAGAAAGTCGTGTTCTTTTTTTTGGTGGAATATTGATCGTTCGTCTGTTATTTCCAGCATCAGCCTCAATTTAGCATGGGTATGCCTTTCCAGTCTCAAGGCCAGCCGCCTTTACCACTTCAGCCCCCTCCACAACATTCTTTTCAGGTATTTGTTTCTCTTCGTAATCTGGCAAAAACAGAAAGAAAAAACGTTTTTTGTGTTGTGTTTTTCCAGCATCCAAGCATGAACATTGGCATGGGGTCCGCGCAAGGACGGGGCCCCGGCATGAACTTCCAGCAGCCTCCGTTTGGCATGGAAGGAGGTCCAGTTTACGGACAGATGCAAATGCAAGGGCCACCGCAGGTTAGATCGATGTTTTCTCTTCTCCTACAAGAAAAACTTACCAAAATCTCTCTTTTCTCATAGCCTCTTCCACTGGAGGTGGAGCAACAGCACCTCCTTCAACAGGTTATGAATCTAACACCGGAGCAGATCAACTCTCTCCCGCCGGATCAACGCCAACAGGTTGTCCAGTTACAGCAGGTGATCCAGCTCCAGCAGTCGATGCGGTAGCACAGGTTTCTTTTTTTGTTTTCTCCCGGTAGAGGACACGTGACGGCCGGAACATTGCTCGAGATGATGTTTCATGGATGCCATTGAGCTCGTCCTGGAGGATGGAAAACCTTTGATTCATAGGATCATTACATGGTAAAATTTACCAATAGGTACCATGTTGCGTTCTTCAAAGCACAACATTAAGGATTTACAATATGAAAAAGAGTGTGAGTGATGGATCGATTAATGGAGAAAAATTCTCTTATCCTTCAGATTGGATTGAGTTTTCAACTAAAAAAGGTAATGGTATGCCCCACAAACTATTTCGTTTGAAGGAGGACCATCCAAAGACGTTATTATAGGGCTGTGTCAGCCTTACTACTGTTTTGCCACGTGGCGCCACCTGGCCAATAGTCGTCCGACGTAAGCACCTGGAGAAGAGTCAAACATTGTGGACCAGAAAAAGTCAACTAGCACCGACCTTAACTTGCAGCTGGAGGAACTTGACGTAATTGATGGCCTTCTCCAGCATCGTCACTAGATCAACCTGAGAAGAACGAAAAGATACTCTTAGAATCTTAAAAAATCTTTTGAAGATCCACACCTTTGTGCTGTTTGGAACGAGCTCTTGCAAGATCTTGAGCCTGTCACTGATCCTCTCCCGGCGATGCTGCGCAGCAAAAGCCTTGGATATCAAGCTTGTGTGAGCGTGTGTGTGTGAACTTACTCTAGCAGCGATGCTCTGGGGATCATTGGCGCTTCCCTGCCTGGCTCGAGGCTTGAAATTGGTGTTGAGCGCTGGAACCCGTGGTGCTTTGCCGCTGCTACTCGAGGCCGCGGCGATTTGCTGCAAGATGAGCTCATGATCGTGGGGAGTAGTTCTTCCTCCGTGGCTGATGTGAATGATAGGCTCTTGCGAGCCCAACGCCACCGCTGCATCAATCGCCCACGCTGGCGACGAAGACGACGATCCAATCTTCTTTTGCTGCTTGCTGGATGCCGCGTCGTGACGATCCTCCAGAGCTCTCCTCTTTCTCGGATTCCGGGGGCCGTCCACCACGGAAGATCTGTTGACGCTCTCGTTGGAAACACTTGTGCTGCTGGAGCTGGGCTTGGCTTTCTTGCCACTGATTATTCCTTTGTCTCCTTGATCCGTGGAACAAGGAGTCATGATTCCGGGATGATTGCTTGTCACGAGCGCGTGATTGGTATCCACATTGTCGATTCTCCTGTTCGGATCGACGGCGTGGTGTAGTGTGGAGCTGGAGAAGGCTGCGAGGAAAGGGTCCTGGTAACCAGCCTCGTCGTAGAGAGTGGGACACGATGAGAGTGGTGTAGCCGCACTTGGAATCTCCAAGCATTGAGGGAACTGTTCGAGCACCGTGCTCGACTGGTGACTATGATGAGATGAGAAGCTCGTGAGAGGGAGCGAGAGGCCTGGTTCCAGATTCGAAGGGAAGAGCTCGAGCTGGGAAAAGTCGGTGGCACTGGGAGGAAATTCAACTGGCATGGCGGCGGCGCTGTTGCTGCTGCTGCTCTCGATTTGCCACGACCTCCATCTCAAGAAGTTGATCCACTCGTGGTCCGAGAGAAGGTTGATGGGGTGTGGATGATGCTGCTGGTGATGATCGATGCCGAAATCCAGGAAATGGTTGCTTGACCCTCCGACCACATCCTGGTGTTGTGGCGGTGGTGAAGAGAAGCAAATCTCCGAGTCAAGGCTGCCCTCTCGGCTGGTGGAGCAGCTGCAGCTCGGATCAGGAACTTTGCAAATTCTCGTCTTGTGCTCGTCCTCAAATCCTGCTCGGGTGCAATGCTCGACCGCCCACGATGCTGCGGCCGTGGCCATGATGATCGATCAGAGACAAAGAAAAGAACCCAAAAAAAAGAAGAACTTCTAATACTTTAGCCTGCAAATACCAGAAATCCCAAGCAAGAGCAATTGAGATAAATCAAATCTCGAACGGCAGCAAAGTTTCTTGCATGCACTGGTAAAGATCACGCAATCTATCAAGTTCTTGCTGAAGAAAGGAGAAGAATCTCAAAGAAGCCCAAGTGGCAAATTGCTGGTCCTAGAGTTTAGACACACACCACTACTCTGGAGCAAGATCAGCAGCTTATAACATACGTAGCTCACAGCGCAGTGAATCTAGAGCGAGGAGAGGAAAGGAGAAATGGCGTGCCCAGTGGCAGTGCTGTTCCACTCAATCAAAGCACACGGGAAGGAACTCAAAGGAGCTAGCCGGCATTGCCTTCGCGATGACAAGCAAGAACACTTAAACTCGCTGGCTGGGAAAATAAATTCTCCTGCTTTGTGGGGGCACACAAGTGAAACGCGTGCAAGGAGTTGCAGTCTGCAGCCCTAACGCGCCCTTAAATCTGGACACACTTTGACAAAATGCCCACCCTGTTTCATTTCTTCTGTCACCCTTTCTTAGTTTTTCTTATGGTAAATTTACCCTCAAAACTGCTTCTTGGGTGTCATTGTTTTTGAGATCCATATGTTTGACGAGAAGAATTCTCGCGTTATAAATCTCTGGGAGTTGAATCCATTGTGTGATGTCTCCTACCCACCAAATAACTTCCATCTTATGTATATTCTTTTGTAAATGTGGGATCATGTGGAATAATTGGGAACCCTAAATTAGACAACCGACATTTGCTTAGTGAATTAAGAGCAAAGTGCATGCACTCATGGTTAAAGATGTTTAAGACTATGTAAGACATGCTCAACATGTTAGCAGCTCCAAACTTTAAATTGTTTACTCTTTGAATTCATCGACATTCCATTTCCATCGTGGTGACACAAAGTCCCTCCAAACTAGAAAGAGGGAATTTTGGGGCAAGGATCACTGCGGTGGAAGCGCAAGAGATCCAGATGGACAGCTAGGCAGGGAGATCACGCGCGCGAATCTTCTTCGTGGTCTCTTTGAGTGTGCACCATGAAGCGTTCTTCTTCTAATTTTAATCCAGATATGATATCAAAACGTTGCAATGCAAATACTAATTAACTTCTCTGATTTTTACCCAACATTTGTCCAAACCGGCAAGACTGTGCCAGTCAACTTACCACGCATTTTATAAATCCAAACTTGCTGCAGTAGTAGTAATTGCAGCACTAAACCCAATGGGAGACAATGGTGAACTTGGAGTGATTGGTAAATCATACACACTTACACACAGAAGGAGCTCTCCGGTTTTCGAGAGTGTTTGAATTCGAGACCTCGAAGAAACATCCCCCAAGAAGAGCGATCATTGATGAGTTGCTCAGAGCCTTGTTACGATCCGATCTCTCTTCAAAAGCAAACAACGTTGCTCTCTTCTTGTTTATGGATGCCGAAGGGTCTTCCGATTCAACGAGAGGGAACATTATAAGATGAAAACTTGTGTGCCCACTGCTTGTTTCGCGCAAGAAGGTCACTGCTCATTAATTGCAATGTCTTGTTTACTCGGAGCTCTACGTGTTTACAGTACAGACAATGTTGTCTCGCTGCTAACAAGTCCACCCCTTCGTAATTTCTTCATGGCCATCAATGCAAATGGCATAGAATATGAAACCATTCAAGCTGTTTGCCACTTAGCATCAACATCATCGACTCCGCGAAATTCACTTTACTAAACAGCTCGGTGGAAGGAGATGCCCCAATGTCAAAGCCATGGATAAGGCATCTTAATTCCATGGGTGAAAGGTGGCGAGCTTGTTGCAATGTTGCATGTGGTGCGTAATCCTTGCCTAGAGTCTGCACAGCAGAGGTGAGAAGCTACATTTTTCTACAAACCAAGCTTTGGCAAGTTGCAAATTGATCCCTGGTATCACTTTGTGATTGATAATCATGATAATAATGATAATCATGTCCATTTGGGGGAGCTTAGCGAGCATTTAGCAGATGGCACATGTTGCAAGATGGATCTCCTGGAAAACAAACAATGCCCACAAGGGGGATTTGGGTTTTCAAAGTGTTGTTTGTACGTGTACTTTCGATTCCGGGCACAATGAATCTGCCATGTAAGCCACAGAACAACAAGTTGCTCGGATCAGATAGAGCCAATCTCCAACTATTTTTTGCCCAAAATATCGTTCTTGGAAGGAACTGGAAGATCAAATTTTTATAGAAGATTGCGTTCACGAGCTCTACAAAAAATTTCCAATCCCCACGAAACAAATACGTGCACACATGCACGGAAAGGTAAGCTTCACGAGTTTGCGCAACGCTGACGTCACGACCTACCTGCGTACGGACACGGCATGTTTGGTGGCCGCGAGACACTGAGCGGGAATGCCGGCCGAGCCCGCCACGTGGACGTCTCATCGGCGTGTGCTCGCAAACGTGTGCGTGCGCACGTCTATACTTTCATTCCCCTGTACTTTTTTTCGCTTCTCACTCGGCCGGGGACGAAGGGGAGATTCCCACGATCTTCCAAAGGAACTGAGATTGCTACAGTCGATAGAACGAACGAAGTGTAAACAAAGGCTATCATCCGTGAAGAACTAAACAATACCTCTTTCACCGCCGCTGAGAGGAGAAAACTAGAAAATTTCTGGCGATTGCTCGAGTGGTGGTATCTGCGAGAACACAATATCAAAGTGCGCGCACGTCAGGCAAGGAAAAGAGCTGACACAGCAAATGGAAGGAAGAAGAAGACTAGACAAAACATAAAAACCTCTCCCTCTCTCTCGAGTTCTATACTTACGTGACGATGGAAGGCGTGGTTGGCGCAGTGTAGGCCACACAAAAGAGCTGGAATATGCGGCTGCCACCGCAAATTCGCATGCTCCATTGTCCTGTACCGCCAGTGCTCTAAAAACGCAGGAAGAAGATCCTTCTCGCATGCCGCTCACAGTCATGGTGCTCTTAAACGCTGGTCTCTTGTCCCAACGCAGCTCCAGCAATTTAGCGCTGGATGGCTCACCCTTTTAGCCAAGAGCCGCGGTTTGGACCGTGTCCCAGGCTTGGAAGCAAAGATCCCAGAGGTTTTATCCTCCCCTCCTGCCAAAAAAGCCATGCTTGTGATCCGCGAGGTGTCGTGAAGGTTCTAGACAGAAGCTCACCTTGCATTAAGAGGCCGAGTTCGTCAATCCCTCCAAGTTGCAGAGAAGCTGTCCAAAACAAAACAGACTGCCACTAAAGTCAAGTTTAACCAGCCTTTAATGAGCGAGTTTTAACCGGACAGACATACCTCACCGACGGAGAGACGGACCCATGCGTTTGGATTGAACGGACCTGGAAGAAACCATGGAAGTAAAAAAATTGCAAAAAAAAAAAAAAAACAAAAAAACAAGAAAATCTTAAAAAGTGACTCAACCTGTTTTGGTATGTCCAAGCCCATCCCTCGACCTGGCAGTAACGAAGAAGAAAAACAAAAACGTATCAGCGAGAGCAAAAAGATCTCACGGTGCTGCAAAGTACATGTTGGCCAGCACCATAAACGGCGACGAGGTTTTGCTCCGGTCAGTAAACTCAAACGCATTCTCCGCCATCCGTGTGCCTCGACTTGGATCAAGGTGAAGCCTGCAAGCTCCCAGCAAAGTCCCCCAAGCCACCGAGTTTGGCACGAAAGGCATGATTTTGACGAGCTCCTCGGCGTCGCCAAGCCGCCCGGCTCGCCCGAGCGTATCGGCCAGGCAGCAGTAGTGCTCTCGCACCGCCACGACGCCAAAATCGCTGCTTCGTGACACGAAGTAGCAGCAAGCCTGGTCGAGCAGGCCGTAATGGTTGCACAGGCTGAGAACTATGACGAAAGTGATGGCGTCCGGCAAGCATCCATCCAAGTGCATGGTGTGGAAGAGCTCGAAAGCCTGCTGAGCACCATCGCCCTTTTGGACGTGCATTGCGATCACGGAGTTCCACGAGATAACGTCTCGCACTGGCAAGCGATCGAATGCGTCCTTGGTTTCTTGCAGCTTCCCGTGCTGCATGAAGGCCCCCAGCATCGAGTTGCAAGCGTGGACCGTCTTCTCTGGCATGGCTTCGTAAGCCTCGACCGCCTTGTCGAGAGACTTGTTCTGTGAAAATGCCGCTATCATCGAGCTCCAAGTGACCGAATCCCTCTCGGGACACCTCCGGAACAAGAGCTCCGCCTCCGAGAGCTCCCCGTGATGCGAGCTCGCAGTGATCATCGCGTTCCAAGTCACTACATCCTTCTGCGGCATCAAAATGAAGAGACTTCTAGCCTCTTCCAGCGTCCCATTCTGCGCGAAAGCCATGAAAACAGCGTTCCACGAGGAAACACTTCGTTTCGGCAAGAGCTTGAACGTAGAGCTTGCTTTCTCCAGCTCCTTGTCCTGCATAAAAGCCCCCAGAAGCGCATCCCACGAAAGAATGTCCCGTGTCACCATCTTGTCAAACACCGCCTTGACGTTCTCGACGTCTCTCTTCTGGGCATACGCCGCAATGAGCCCGTTGTAAGACGAAACATCGCGCAGGGGCATGGAATGGAAGATCTCCACTGCCTTGTCAGTATGACCCTTCTGGGCATACGCCGCCATCATCGAGTTCCACGATACCACGCTATGCCGAGGCATCTGATCAAAGACAAGCTTTGCCTCCTCGAGCTGGCCACCATGAGCAAAGATCCCAACGATGGCAGTCGAAGAGATCACGTCCCAGAGAGGCATCCGATCATACATCGCTCTGGCCACTTCCAAATGCCCATTCTCGGCATAAGCCAAGAACATCGAAGTCCACAGCACCACGTCTCGTCCAGAGAACTCATCGAACACTCTCTTCGCGAGCTCGGGAGCTCCATCTTGGGAGTAGCCTTGGATGATCGCGGTACAGGACACCACATTCGTCTCGGGCATGGCGTCGTACACGTTCCGTGCCTCGGCAGTGTGGCCTTGCCGTATAAGCCCCGCCAGGAGCGCGTTCCACGAGAGGCAATCGTGCCCGGGCGATCGATCGAATGTGGGCTTTGCTCGATCCAGCTCGCCGCTGTGGAGATAGGCCTGGAAGATGGAATTCCACGACGAGAGCGATCGCTCGGGCGAGTTCTCGAAGCACGCAGCCGCCTCGGCAAGGTCCCCATTCACGGCATTTGCAGCGATCATGGAATTCCAGGACACGGACGTCCTCCCAGGCATGAGGCGAAAGATCACCCTGGCGCTAGGGATCCCTTCGTGCTGCGCGGCGCCGTGCATCAGCGTCGTCCAGGTGAAGACATCCCTGCGCGGCGCGCGATCGAACAGCCGGCGCGCCCCGAGAAAATCCCCATTGTTGGCATATGCCGCGATCATCACATTCCACGACGGCGTAAGCGCCGGCTGCTGGATCCCATCGAACACGGCCCTAGCGTCGGCGATGCTGCCGCATTTGCCATACATCTGGACGAGCATCGTGTGGAGAACGCGATTGCCGTGGTAGCCATCGCCGAGGAGGCGCTCCAGCCGCGCGTGGAGCGCCTTACAAGCGCGTAGATCCTTGGCGCTGCCATAAACCCTAATTGCCTCGCAAATTCGAGACCAGCAAATGGTCGCCGTTTCGAACCCTTTCCAGCGCAGGTTAAAAAATGCGGCTTAAAAATTTTAAAGGCTGGACAGTTAAGCTAATTAAACTGACGTGGTTAAGCGGGTTTAGGGCAAGGTGGGAAGAACACTGTCACACAGGGGAGAGTGGAGGAGGAGGAGGGCAAGGCACTGCCGGGATTCTACCGCTACAGATGCTACGCTGGATCAATCCATGCATCGCAGTAGCAGCGGTGTCCGGAGTGGCGGGAGGAAACAGGGCACGGTGAGGAAGATCCCAGCGGCTAGGGCGGCGGCTTCGCAGCGTAATCCACAGGTATGGCGGCTTGCTTGGAGGCTCTCGGTGACGTTAGGGTTTTCTTGTTCTTGCCAAATCCAATGGCGCGCAGGCCGAGCACAGCAGCAACGGGATGTATTCCGATCAGATAGGCGTAGCAGGCAGCCGGAAGAGGCCCGTGCGCGAGCGATTGCACGGGATTTCTGACGGGATTGCTTCCGTGGGACGACAGAGCGTGAACAAAAGGTAGATTTTTTTCTTCGTGGGCTTTCGGTGTTGAGCTTAACTAGCGTGATTCTGTGAAGGCAAAGGCAGGAGGATGGCAAGTGGAAGCATGATCTCTACGCCGACGAAGATGGAGATGACTCTGGACTTGGTATGGTCGTTTCGTTTCTTATTTTTTCCTGGGCTCCCTCCATACGTCAGTTTGCTGCATTGTCTCGTAGAAGGCCAGAGCGGTACTCAAGATCTTCGCTTGCGATTGACGAGAAAGAATCCCTTGCGGAGCTCCAGTGGAGGAGGAGGAGGAGGAGCTCCACCCATGAAAGATCTACGTGAGAAGCTGTCGGGACCAATCCCACCTCCAGTGGCTCAACCCGAGAAGCCTCGTCACAGGCTGCCCTCGACCATTGTCCGCGGTAGCACTGCTGCCTCGGCGTCAGTGGCGCCGCCGAGGCCTGTGATTCCGCGCAGCAATCCACCACCTCCGAAAATCCAGCCAGTAAGTAGCAAAGCCACACATATCCATGCTCGACGCTCATCACTTTTTTGTGCAGGCCTTGGAAAGTGTTGCCTCGTTTTTGACGTCTTTAGGATTGGAAAAGTACTTACTAACGTTCCAAGCGGAAGAGGTGAGTGATAGAATCCACTTTGGAAATTCCGGGGCTAAATGATGGGTTTTGCAGGTCGATATGACAGCATTGAGGCATATGAAAGATGAAGATCTCAAGGAACTGAATGTTCCCATGGTAAGAACCCACCCACTGATTCTTTCTTCACTTTTGAGACACATCTCATCCTTTCTTCTGGATTGGTAGGGACCAAGGAAAAAAATTCTTCTTGCGCTGGGTAATCGTGCTTCATAGGTACCCAAAAGCTCCAGTTTCACTGCAGATGTTTTAATATTTGTTGCTTACCAAGAAATGTCACTCTTTTTTTTTGTGTTTCCTTGTGAAACTTGCGTCCTAGCCCAGCCCACATTTCTGTTGGCTGATCTAACTATCTTTGTCAGTTTGTGACTTGGACAGAAAAACGGCAGCGCATCGAAACTTGGTACTCTCTCTCTCTTAATTTTTTTTTCTCTCGCTTTCGTTTTCTCTTACTATTATATAAGTTTTAATTAAAGCATGTTTGTACAGGAAATCTCACACCAGCAAATCTCACTTTCACGCTATATGGGGTGGTCACACATAACTGGAAACAAGGATCAAAGGTCGGTCTCAGTTTGGAAACGCATCGTAAGCAACAGGAAACAACAGTTAAAACAAAGATCAACCGCAGCATAAAGAGCACAGGTCGATCCGGAGGCTCGCTCGCTCGCTCGCTCAGTCGTAAGGCCCGTTGGGATTGAGCTGCTTGAGAAGGCCAACGTACGTGAGATAGAGAACCCGGTCCTTGGCCCCGGTGCGGTGGCGGCGGGTGTGCTTGCAGAAGTACTTGAGCTGGTCGAGCGTGCAGAGGCCGAGCGTCTGGGTGAGCAGCAGGAAGAGCCAGTTGATGTTGCGCTTCTTGGCGTCGATGACGGGCTTGACGCAGTCGCACTGGCGGCACAGCGAGCAGTCGAGCAGCCGGGGGGACGTCCAGCACTTGGGAGCGCGGTCGTGCATGGAGTCGCGGTAGCTGATGAAATAGTTGTTTACCTGCATGAAGGCGTCCCGGACGTCGAGGTCCACCATCTGGGAGCCGTCGCAGCGCTTGCAGATCACCTCGCCGCGGATGCGAGTGATGGCCGAGCTCCAGAGGTAGTCGAGCGAGTGGACATGGGCGCGGTACTCGCTGGCCCACGGGAATGGAGCGGGGATTCTCTCCGACTTAGGCATGGTGGTGGTGGCGGCGGTGGCGGTGGCGGGGGTGGCGGCGGAGTGTGGCGATGAAGCTGGCGGCGCTGGCGTTAGAGATGATGCTCCAAGCTCGCGGGGGCTTCTAGTCCTGCTGGGTGGAGACAGTGTGAGCCTGAGAGATTCGTCGTCATCAAAAATTGGCATATGGAAGGAGGAGGTGCAGGATGATTATGGTACCGTGTTAATCAACTTGTGGGATGGAATATAAGCTTGGTGACGAAGGAGCGTGCGTATGGGTGTCGTGATTGTGCGTGTGAGAGTACCCTCACCTCCTGCAAGGAAGAATATTTCACTGCCACCAATCAGCCACTTTGTACAGAAAAAAGAGAGCGCGGGGAAGAGGAAAGAAGGCCTTGCATGTAACATGAGGCGATCGATCCGGGCACGCTGACAAAGGTGGGGATTATGGAAAACAGGTATGGCACGGAGGAGAGAGAGAGAGAGCGAGCGAGAGAGAGGAGAGCTCTGAGATGATCTCTTCTCTCTCTCGTGATCCAATTCGCAGGGAGGAACTTCTCGGCGAGCTAGAGATGGATTTCAAGTTGTGGATCGAAGAAATCGTGCGGGGGCGGCCGTCTCTTTCGATCTTTCGTTCCACGGGTGGACGCTTTTGTCGTGGGGCGCCGTATCACTTTCAGTGTCACAAACACATTCAAACACTGGCACTTCGAAGAAATAGTGTGGGTCTCTCGCTCACATCAGAAGCTCTCCAGGACAAGAGATCACCACTCGAGAAAGAGCTGCTCTCAGCATGATGCTATACCTGAGGAAATATCTTTCGGTTCGTTTCGTCGTAAGTGGTGGCGCTGTTCCGTCCCGGTCGCAAAGTATGGAGCAAGCAGTGGAAATCAAACAGCACTATCTGGCTAGAATCACTTTCTCCTCCTCTTTTTTCTTCTTGTGTTCTTTAGAGGAGAGGAAGAGAGGATGCGATAAGAGAGAGAGAGGGAGAGAGAGAGAGGGAGGGAGGGAGGGAGCGAGCAGAGAGACAGAGGCGAGTAATCTTCCAATTTTGTCGATCACATCATCTTGGCTGCTCCAAGATTAAAATTTGCCGCTTGCGGCGAATCGGAAAGCCAATCGCTCTGCAAAGGGGTAGCGACTGCAAATTGCAAGACAAGTGGCTATAAGAGCGAAAACAATTGCCGCGATCGAGAGGTAAGAAGCCAGGCATAACACCGAGAAATATTTATAGGGAGGTGGAATTATACGGGATAACGAATCAAGAGCGAGCAAAGGCTTCTTACCTTTCTATCGCTGTTCTGTGCCTTCACAAAAAAAAAAGGAAAAAAAAATGTTAAATTCACAAAAAGGTAGCTTTTTCTCACTCTTAACCATTCCATGTTAAAATGTTGATTCTTTCCAAAGTGACACTGTTAACAACGCCTACTTAGAAAAATCAAAAACTCAAGTCTTAACTCCAAGATGTAAAACTAAAAATTTACCATCACAGTGAAAAAAAAATAGAACCCCAAGAAAACATAAACTCTATGCTTGTCACATATTCTCTAGTTTGGTAAAGAGTCAGACAAGGGACCCTTAAACTTGAGCTCACTTTTACTTTTGAATGCCTGAGAAATAGAGCTGGGGCCATGGATTTTTGTCATGTGAGAGACTTAGTTCATGGTTGTTTGGGCTGATTTTTTTATGCTATATATATATATATGGTGTCTGGATTGGGAAACCCTAAACCTAAAACCTATCCTAAGAAGAGAGATAAAAAAGGAAAAGTTCCAATGAAGCACGATTGTTCTTTCCAGCTTGGAAAGGAAAAAAAAGCCAATGCAAGTCAATTTATTCCATGGGCGTGCGGCAATCCTACGGTCGCAACACAGGCCTCTCGTCGGAACGAAACGATTCGCGGAATATTCTACGCCCCCCGGCAGCGCGGCAAAAAGGGTCACATTACTTTTACTTGATCGTCAAGACAGCGGCCTATCCACGGTGCTTATAAGTTGGGAAGAAGGTGGCGAGCAATTAGGGTACAGATTCAATCCGAATCGGCCACGTGCCGAATGAGGCCGTGCGACACTAACTTCCCACTTTGGCCCGATTGACGTGGACGTATACTCCTACAGTCCTTTTCTTCGTTTCCAAAGCTAGCCAATATTCCAAGCTTCCAGTGTTTGTGCACAGGACGCATTTGGCAAAGAAGAAAATGGAAAAAGCTAAGGTGAGCCCCCTATAGGTAGGCGAGTCACACCTCCAGCCTCCAGGTAGTTAGTAGCTATGGCTAGATTCAAGAGAGAGTGGGGGATACCTAGTAGCTAACTATTTCTCGGCGGGAATCGAGCTTTTTAAGTGGGAAGAATATTCGAGAGCATGCTCATATCGTCGCCGTCCATTGGATTCCAGGTTAAACCCTAGAAATTTAGGGTTCTTGGCGGGCGGCGGCGAGTTCCTCCGGGGCGAGAGACGAGAGACAAGGTAAGGATGCAATGCGCGTGTCCTAATTCTTGGCGGTGCGCTTGGAGAGCGCTCCCGCTGTAAATATGGACATAGATTGTGGCTGTGGGGGATCTTTAGGTGGGCGCGCTACGAGAGCTCGCAGCGCCCATAAAGCCTCCCCCGACACGCTTGCTGCGGCAGGGGAAATGCTAACTTTTGCCCCTTCTCGTTCTCGCAGTGATTCGTGCGGGGAAGTAACCGATCGAAAGCAACGATGTCGGACGCGTAAGTATTTTTGCATAGTTCTTGTGTTTCTTTGATTGATATTGTATCTCAACTTCGAAACTTCGCATAGTTCTTGTGACGATCTTTGCTTCTCAACGAAGAAACTTTGCATAGTTCTTGTGTTTCTTCGTGGATCTATTGGAAGGGGAGTCTGATCTTTGTTTCTTTGGTGATGCTGTAGCGACGAACCCATAGGTGAGGCTGCCGCCGAGAAGACGACTCCCGTGCTTGGAGAGCCCATGGATATCTTGACGGCACTCCAACTGGTGCTCAAGAAATCTCTCGCTCACGACGGTCTCGCCCGGGGTCTCCACGAGGCCGCCAAGTCGATCGAGAAGCACGCTGCGCAGCTCTGCGTCCTTGCCGAGGACTGCAACCAGGCCGACTACACGAAGCTCGTCCAGGCCTTGTGCGCCGAGCACGACGTCAACTTGATCTCCGTTCCCAGCGCCAAGAAGCTGGGTGAATGGGCCGGGGTAAGCTTCCCTTTTCCTTCTCCAAGTTCTCTCAAACTTTTCGCTTTGTTCTTGCAGCTTTGCAAGATCGACTCCGAAGGCAAGGCTCGAAAGGTCGTCGGCTGCTCCTGCGTGGTGATCCGGGTATGTCTCGTGTCACTTGGATTGCTCTCTTCTTTCATCGAAGAACTAGGATTGCTCCGAAGAACTAGTTTTGGATTCTCCGGGGTTTTGCTTACGAAAGTTTTGGTTCTCCAGGACTATGGCGAGGAGACTGAAGGGCTAAATGTGATCCAAGAGTATGTCAAGAGCCACTAAGAAGAAAAAAAAAGAGGAAATAGTCTATAACGTTTGCCGCCGCCGCCATTGTGTTTTTTGGGAAAGAGAATGGAAAAAAAGGGGGACCTTTTCTTTTATTTGAAGTAACTCCGGGGTTTAAATCGTTTTAGTTTTAGGGAGGAGGAACCCTAGGTGGTTTTTGACTTCCTCTCCGCGGATCGATCAGAGGTATGGATCCTCGCTCCAGCGCTGCGATCGATTACGGCTGCACTGTCCCCGCTCTGTATCGCTACTCGGATCCACTGTTGGTGTAGCGGTGCTCTCCATCGGTGGATTTGAAGCAAGCAATGGACAAGAAAAGGAGTGGCAATGGCGGAGGTAGCGGAGCCGCGGGCAAGAGGCAGCGACTGATCGATGGAAGGAGGCCTTCCAGGTTCGTATTCTTCGCGGCAGGGATTTGGAAGGATTTCCCCGTGGAAATTAGCGCTGCTCTGTGCGAGGCCTACCGCGCCGGCAGGGAAATCGCGGAGATTTTCTTTGCGAGCTGTCATCTGGCGGTGTTCTTCGCGCATATGATCCAGCTAAACACCGGGACTGGATACAGGAACTCGATCGGTTGGTTTGACAGCGATGGAGAGTTTTCCAGCCCGATCCAGCCATTCGAGGGCCCTGGATCGGTCGACGATGTGGAGAAGCTCCTTGGCGGTGGAAAGGCTTCCTTGAGTGCACGGCAAGGAAGCTCGATCTCTACCACCGACACGGACGCGGCTTGTTCCGCCGTGGAAGACGAGGGTGGCGAAGTGGAAGACGTGACTTCTAGCCGCAGCAAGCTCGCCAATCTCGTGGTTTCCAGCGGTGGCAGGCTCGCGAAGCTCGAGGCTGGCGATCCAAAACTCGTCGACGTCAAAGCAGCGTTTCTAGCGGGGCTCGGGCGACTGTCGGTGGTGGCCGATGTTACTTCGGTGTGCAAAGTTCGTTACGACTGTCCTGGCGGTCAGGCTCGCCGAGAAGCGTTTGAGACGCTCAGCGATCTCACGGCCAAGGTGCGAGGCGGGGATGCGAATTTGCAGCAGGCTTGGTACGGGTGTTCTCGAAACGAGCTTCTGAGTGTCATCAAGCATGGTTTTGGACGTCCGTCGGTGGACTCCACCTACGGTGTGGGGATATATCTTAGTCCGGAGAGTCTCTCTCGCCTGAGGTAAGTGCTTATGCTTTGTTTTGCGACGCGGTGAGACGTGATTGTCTTTCGTTCTTGTGCAGTTGCAGAGGCGCGGATATTGACGAAAATGGCGAGCAGCATGTCTTGCTGTGCCGTGCGATTCTTGGCAAAGCTGAGCTTGTGCGAGCAGGGAGCAAGCAGTTCCATCCATCCAGCGATTTGGTTGACACCGGTGTTGACAATCTGGCGAATCCGAAACGCTTCATTGTGTGGAGCACACGCATGAACACGCATATTCTGCCGCTCTACGTTGCCAGCTTCAAGTTTCCACGCAAGTGGCACGGTTAGTAGAAGCTCTCTTTTTTCCACTTTCATCGTTTACACCTTGGCTCTTGTTCCCTCGCAGGTATTATGGAGGCATCAGCCAAGTGCAGCAACTCTTCCGAGATCAAGGAGAAAGTAATCGCACCGAAGGTGTTTTTCTTTTTCATTTCTTTTTCCTTAATGCTTTAGGAGTAACGTAGTCCAATTTTCTTTGTTTAGCAGTCAAGTGTGACGGTGCCCATGCTGTTCTCGGTGCTCAAGCCCGAGCTTTCCTCGTCGGAGATGAATATAGTAGTCCAGGATTACTTGGAGCTCAAGGTAGTTCGCTGTTTTCTTGTCGGCCAAGTCTAAAGTCAATTTATCCTCTTGAAGAATGCTAAGATCTCCCGCGAGGAATTTCTGAAACGGGTGAGGACTCTCATTGGTGACGAGAAGCTGAAAAAAATCCAGGAGCAAGTCTTTCGAAGCAGCGTCCTTTGTGGCTTCCTGATATGCCAGAGCCAGAACAAGCTTGCGGAGCATCAGGCTCACAGCGGTGCGAAGATCCACATCTAAGATCCAAAGCAGAGCTAAGTTGCAAATTTCCATTTGCTTTCTCCATGTTGTTATGTTGTTTTGTCCACCGTCTGCTGTTTTCAGCGTTTAGCTTGAAGACACTCTCATCCTTCTGCTCCTTTGTCTTATCTCTTCATCACTATATGAGGTACTTTTTATTCCACAACGCACTCACCTCACTTAGCGCAGCATGGAGCTTCCACTCCTCAAATGGATCTTGCTGCTAAATCTACTGCGAACTTCGGCTGTCGGGAAGATGGTAATCTTCTCCGAGCCAGGCCGTCTCGACAGATCCTCCAGCGACGCACTGCGAGCCAAGTTCTCGGAGATCTCGGCCACAATTCTTCCCAACTCGACTTACAAGGCAGGTAAGTCCTTCTACGGCTCGGTACTCCCCAGGAACTCGAGCAGCGATGACGCCATCCTCATCAACTTCCACTTCTACGACGAGGCTCTGTGCGATCCTTCCTTCGTCGCCACCGTCCCCGCGGCTCCCGGAAGCTCCCTGCTCGACAAGTTCGCTCCGGTCGCCAGAGAGGCGCTCGAGCTCGCGGCAGGCTCCGGCTATGGCTCCGGAGTGGTGATCCTCGGCCAGTTCCAGGTCGGCTACACGATGCAAGGCTCCAGGCTCGTGGGAGGAGCGGACAATTGCACCAAGCTCTCGATGAGCTACAACAATTCTCTCGACTACTGCTTTGGCTACCGCAGCGTCCTCCAGAGCCACACTCCGTGGAACCATCTCTACTCGCAGTGCTCGCTTCGATCGCCCAATCACAAGTTCCTCCTCCAGATGCAAAGCGACTGCAATCTCGTGCTCACCGACACCGATTCCAACGTTGTTTTGTGGGCGAGCGACACTTACCTCGCTGGAAGTGGCTGCTACCTTGCTCTCCAAGAGGACATGAACTTGGTGATCTACGACGAGCGCCACAGCGCGAAGTGGGCGTCCGGGACGAGCAATTCGAGCCTTGGGCCGACGCAGCTCATCCTCGGGAGTGATGGGTCGAGCAGGATTTTCCGGAACGATGAGCCAGGGACTGTGATCTGGAAGAACAAGGACAAGAACAAAGAGTAGAAAGAACTATGGTTGTTCTTGTTGTTTGGTGGAACTTGGTATCCTCCTCCTCCTCCTCCTCCCGGAATTGCAGGGACGAGGTCTCAATCGAGCATCTTGCGTCCTTGGTGCGATCGTCCAGGGGAGATTTGGCCCAGGCTAGACGCATTCACGCTCTTGTCTCGTCGTCCCGCCATTCGCACAACATATTCTTGGCGAATCTCATCGTGGAGATGTATGGAAAGTGTGGATCCATCAAGGAGGCGGTGGCGACCTTCGATTCGATCGCGCACCCGAATGTCTTCTCGTGGAATATAATGCTTCGGGCATATGCCTGTAACGGGCATCTGCGAGACGCGAGGAGTCTTTTTCTTGTGATTCCCGACAAAGATAGCGTCACCTTTGCAACAATGATGCAAGCTTACGTCGATTATGGCGAGCTTGATGAAGTGAAGTCCATGTTTGATGCAATGCCAATCAAAGATGTGATAGCGTGGACGACGATGCTAACAGCATATGCCACTACAGGGCATTTGGAGGAGGCCAAAGCGGTGTTTGATACAATGCCGCAACGCAATGTGGTAACCTGGAATGCATTGCTTGTTGGGTATTCTCGTAATGGGAAGGTGGGGTTTGCGAAGAAAGTTTTTGATCTGATTCCACGGAAGAACACTTCTTCGTGGAATGCTATGTGTCAAGCGTATGCCGAGAATGGGCATCTTGATGAATCTCGGAAGCTGTTTGATGCTACGCCAGATCGAGATGTGGTGTCGTGGACGCAAATGGTTGCGGCTTATGTGAAATCCGGAGACTTGAAGGAAGCGAAGAGCCTGTTTGAGAAGATGCCGGACCGTAATGCTGTGTCGTGGAATGTGATGATCCAAGCTTATGGCGAGAGAGGGGATGTAGATCGAGCAAAAGAGCTGTTTGATAGGATGGAGTTTAGAGATGCTGGATCGTGGAACTTGATGCTTTCTGCTTATGCTCAGAACGGGTATCTCAAAGAAGCCAGGGATTTGTTTGAGAGGATGATCCACCGGGACGTGGTGTCATGGACGATTTTAGTTGCCGCTTATGCGCGGACGGGGAATTTCTCTGCTTCAAAGGATCTGTTTGATCGAATGCCGAATCGTAATGTGGTTTCGTGGAACTGTATGATCCAAGCTTTTGTGGAAGGCGGAAAACTTGAAGAGGCAGAGAAGCTTTTCTCGAGAATGCCTGCAAGGGATTCAGTTTCGTGGAATGTAATTTTCTCGGGATATGCCAACCAAAGAACTTTGAGAGAAGCTCTGGAGTTTTTCGAGATCATGCCAGCGAAAGACGATGAATTCACGAAAACCACATTGATCGCCGCGTACGGACGAGCCGGGCAGATTGTTGAAGCCCAGATTATCTTTGATGGGCTCAAAGAGGAGCACAAGGCTTGTGCAGTGCCTTGGAACGCATTGCTCCATGCGTACGGTCACAGCAGGAGGCTCGAGAAGGCCGCAAAGATCTTTTCCGTACAAAAAAAGAAAGATCTCGTCTCGTGGAATATCATGCTCGCTGCATATACCCAATGCGGATATATACGAGAATGTGAAAGGCTACTTGCCGCGATGCCTTTTCACCACGACATTTTCACCTTGACCACGATGGTAACAGCCTATGGTAAAGGTGGCAAGCTGAAACTGGCCAAAGAAACGTTTGAGAAGATCCCTGTTAAGAACCCAGTAGCCTATACTGCCATGGTTTGGGCATATGCCAAAGCCGGGCATGCTTCGAAAGCAAAGAAGCTGCTCGTTGAGATGCAGGCCGCGTTGCCGTCACCTGGTACGTACGGAGAGATGGACGCTTCAAATACGTTGTACCACCAGTTCGGAAGCTTGTTCATACATGGAAAGTAATACATGTTTCTTTTCTGGAAGTTGGGTACCAAGATAGAAGGTGTGGTTTTGGTTTTGAGGAAAACTCGGTGGTGGGAAGCTCCTGGGCTTGTTTGTAGCCGCTCGGATCTCACGGAGGAAAGAAAGACATCAATCCTTCTCACTTGTAAGTCTTTTAAGTGTGTTTGTGTAGTTTTGGGAGTTCTTCGCCCGATCAAATCGTGATCAGCTCCGCCTTTTGTGAGAATGGAGGTCCAAGCCTGCGCGGCCTGCCGGTTCCAGCGGCGGCGATGCAGCCCTGCGTGCCCGCTGGCAAAGTACTTCCCAGCGAGCGAGAACCAGCGCTTCATGAACTGCAAGAAGCTGTTTGGGGTGAGCAATATGCTCCGGCTGCTCAACCAGGTGTTGGTCAAGGATCGAGACGAGACTATGCAATCGCTCATGTTCGAGGCGGACGTTCGCGAGCAGGACCCCGTCCACGGCTGCATGGGGATCATCTGCATGCTGGAGCAGCAGCTGGACAAGCTGCGGCGAGAGTTAGCGGTGGTGAGAGAGCAGCTCCGCTTCTTCCAGGCCCAAGAACAGCAACAGCAACACAACCACAATCACCATCTTCGTCACCAGCAGCAGCAGCAGCAGCAGCAAGAGGTTCCAGGAGTGATCGATCATCACGGCCTGATCAACTTGATGAGCAGCACCAACGTTGATGGTAGTGGCGGCGAGGATTTTGGAAATGGTGGTCACAGCAACGATCATCTCGGGAGCCGGCATCACCCGCAGCAGCTTCTAGATGACCGGCAGCAGCAGCAACTTGTGGTGCAGCATTCGAGCTCTTCTTCCTCGGCGGCCGCCAGCTCCAGCACTGTGATGAACGCTGCCACTGTCGCCGCGGCTGCTGCGAGCTTCCATTATTGTTTCATCTGACTGTTCTTAGCATTTGCTCCATCGTCCCCAAATTTCCACAAGAGCATGTACGAGCATTCAAGCTTGCAAGTTTAGTTTTTCTTCCCGGTTAAATGCTGCCAGTCTGACGCTCCAGCGAATCGAAGTAGAAGAAGAAAGGAAAAACTCGGCGGTTTTCATCAGGAGAAAGCATTCTCATTTGGCCGCAGCTTTCTTGCTTTGAATGCAACCAGAGACAAATTCAGTATATCAATCTCATTCATTCATAAGTTTTGCCTCATGGCGCTGTGACTATCCTCATTTATATACCGTTTACATGGTGTTATAGCAGCAGGCATGAGGAAGCTGCCCTGATAGCTCCATTGTTAGAATTTAGTAACCCCTATGATTAGAATCAAATAAGAACAGTTGTGGCTTTATAACTTAAATAGTTGGCATCCTATGGTTTCAAGTGTGAAGACACAATCCCCATGGAGGTAATAGAGTCTAGAGTCAATGTTCCATGCACGCGTCCTCTTGACTCCTCTAGATGTTTGTCGGATTGGCCATATGCCAATCGTCCTCTTCTACTCCAATGCTCCAGACTCTGATCAAGGTAATTTTCATTTTTGGGTGAGTGTTGTAGTGAGGATACACTTGGATTGGCTTAGAGAGTTCGTATCCAAGTCCTTGTCAATCAAAAGGTCCAGCTCCGTTCGGCCGAGCTGCACGGAAGTGTCGAAGTAGAAAATATATGGCCATCCAATAACAAAGATATAGTATAAACATGACCATTCATTACCACACTTGTGAAGCCATGTCTACGTTAGTGTCGCCTCCACGAAGAGGGCACGAAGAGAGCTCCCTGAAAGCGCAACGGCGCCAGAGACCTCAACCATCAAGGAGGAGGATGGTGGAGGAGTTCCCGGCGCCAATTCATTCGGGCATCGCAGGAAGGACGGGATCACGGAGGTGTTTGTTGGCCATGTAAGCAGCCTGCAAAGTCTGACCAAGAATTGACCAAAGTTTTGCATTGGTTTATGCAGCATGTGATGTGCTACTAAATATCAGTATTAACTCATATCAATACAGACAAATATATATCAATGCAATAACAAAGTAGATACGATAGACTTGTATCACCTTTGGTCCAACCACGCTCCGTGAATCCCATACGGGAGTCCATAGGGAAGTGGTGCTCGAGCAACTTCTTCAAAGCTCTTGCCGTCCAAGAGGAGCACGTATCCGTCACCTTTATCATCATTGACAATAGATATCGCCACACCTACAGTCAGTAAGAGGTTTACACGATGATGTACAAGAAACTTTGAAACTTTACCATCGTCTTCTTCAGTGGCGCCGGGTCGTGGAACAAACATTGGCTCCGTTGGAATGCTCCCGTGCTCATACCACTCCTTAGCACTCTGGCCCTTGATGTCAATCTAGCAAACAAGAGCAATTCATTGGTGTTGTTTCGTATGGCCTGGAGGAAACTACTTACTTTGACCAGAGAATTTGGAAAGTGACAAGGCCTATGAGCCCCATTTGCGTAGACGTAGCGATAGTCACGAGAATAATAATGAGGATTCATGGTGTTCATGTCTAGTCCGTGCCCATGAACTTGGGGAGGCACAGCATTCTCTAGAGTTCCTTTGCCCCCTCCAGAGATTGGTATCTTAAATCTCCCAAGCCTGTAACTTCCTTAGCTAGAGCGAAACTGGAAGGAAAAACTTCAACACACCTTGCGTATGGCATTTCTTTCCCCTTCGATCGAAGCTCTGCCAGCTCCATTCTCCGGAGAATGATAGGATTTGACAAGTGTTCGCAGCAGTCGGCCACAATTCTTGGCTTCCCATCTTCGCCAGTTTCCTCGTAGGCATTGATGAAGTGAAACATGAGAAAGTTTGGAACCTCCACAACGTTTACCTTGAGAAAATCCAAGCTTGTAAGAAGATTCTAATATCAAAAGCACGTACCACTTTTCCCGATTTCCTGTCCATGACATGCAAATACGATCCGTGCTCGGGCATATACTCGAATTTGTAGTACGGACATGGCTCCGCCTTGAGGAGATTTTTGGTCGAGTATCTCAGCGCCATTTCTGGGATGACAATGTAATTCTCCGTAAGAGCGAAGGAATGGATCCATCCGGGAGCCGGACCTTTGCAATTCACCTGAAGACGTTACGAAGCTTTTGTAAGGTGACAATATGCAGAGCTTTGGAATTACTAACCCTGCCAAGATGTTTTCTTGTGTTTGTTCCTGGTTCCATCCTCACGATATCATATCCGGGTTTGATCAAGTCTGGAAGGGCGGTGATGAATTCCTTGTCTGTAACATAAGGATGACCTGATTGGAGAAGACCCTGCCAAAAGTTTGGACAATTCGCATGAATCGAAGCGAGAAATCATGTTTGTACCTTGTGATTGTCGTCGTATGTAAATCTTCCAATAGTGTCCAGAGTCCATGGATCGATCTGTGTTGACGACTTCACAGTCTCGGTGATGCAAACCACTCGCCCATCGCCCAAGCTGTCAGTTCAAGAGAAGCTCCTTAACATATCATTATCATCTAGTCAAGCTTATGAGCGATGCTACCATATGACGCCCGTATTGGCGTTGTCCGTGAGTGTTGTTCCCATCGCCATTCCAACCACGTCTTCCAGCAAAGACCAAATGTTTTCGTGCTTTGGTACCACTGAAAACTCCCTGAAACATGCTTGCTGGTTCTTTCTCGCACTCTTGTAAGCGTCGGATTGAAGCTGTGCGTGCTTGACATGAAGTTTTCCATTCTCGAAGTAGAGCCGAAGCAAGCAAGAATATCTGTTCGATAGGAAAAGAACAAAAGAAAAGTAAAAAACAGAACTCGGAATTAGCGAAACAGAACAAAACCAGACAAGAAACTCTGTCAGCTTAATCTCAATGATATACCCGTCGAAGAGATGACCAAATCGGTGCTCTCCCATCTCAAATCTCCCAGGTCCATTTCGCAAATATGTTCCCTTCTGCTCAAAGCCAAGAGACAAGAGGACAAGCCTTGAATGTGAGGAACTTAAACGATGATAAGGAAAGAAAATATTACCAGCCAGAGAGGAATTTGGCCTTGGATAACCGGCAGCTCTCCTTCCCATGATTCTCTTCGAATCGAGTTCCAGGTTGCCAGACCCGCGTACTTATCGTTGAGCCATGCAGGCTTGAGTTCTTCGTGCTGGCATGATTCTCCTGCTTGTTTTGCAGGTTCTCGTGTTAAAATGGATCTGACTTCGATCGATTTGATCCTTGTCGACTGATTCCAGCTTCGACCATGCAACAAGGGACCCGATCGAGGAAAACCAGCAGCATGACTCTTCTTTAGCTTCGATTCGCTATGGAGTAGCAATCCGTTATGAACTCTGGTTGCTTGGGACGATACCGCAAGACTCTCCATGATCCGGCCTGGATTTACAAGGATAAACTAAAGAAATTTAGAAAACCAAGATGCACTCCTACCCATGCGGCTGCCCTTTGCGGAGAAATGGAGGCCAAGCTCGTCCACTATATATCAAATTCCAGCCTGGAGTCTAGTGTTGTTTTCTTAACGCGAATATATTCGCTCCAGCATCTTTCCCCGGAGAATAATCTCGCATAAACTCCAAAAACTCCTGTTGTTATAAATCATACAATCAAACTTTCGCTTGACGGGTGTACCTTCTAGACAGCAGTCAGCATTGATATTGTGGTCTCTCTCAAGTGCTTTCTAAAATAAATTCTGTGATTGTGATCAAAATCAAGATGCCCCAACACAATACTTTAGCAAAAAAAAAATCCATTCAAGCATTTTCCTCTATGATCCTGGAATCACGCAAGTTCTTGTCATGTTAGCAAAGACAAGGGCGAGCATCTTGGAACCAATTGACTACTAGTACTAACAATCTTATATTCTTCTCCGTGTGATCACCCAAATATCTTCTCGGCTCCATACCTTTATCAGAAGAAGAATCGGAGCCATTGATTAAATAACAGTAAAATCTATCATGGCCGTTGGTGCGCACATTCTTTTTTGATACTTTTGGGGGGAAATTCAAATTGCCTCCCATTTCCTAGGTTGGGATTGATCTTGGACGAGGAGAGCGCGCCGGGCACGACGAGCGCTGCGGGCTTTCTCTCTCAGATCTGAGTCAGAGCTTCGAATGCTGGCGGGCGGAGAGGCGAGGCTAAGGCGCGCGGCGTGAGGAGCTCGATCGAGGTATGCCTAGGGTTTTAGAGCTTGTTTCCGAGCTTCGACTGAGCTGAAATCTCTGGCGGCTGGCAGGTTTGGCGATGGGGCGGCCGGGAGCTGCCGCTGCTGGCGGCAAGACTATCGAGGAGATTTACCAGAAGAAAACCCCTCTGGAACACGTTCTACTGCGGCCGGACACGTACGTTGGCTCCATTGAGAAGCACACGCAGACGCTGTGGGTGTATGAGGGCGGTCAGCTGGTGAATCGTGCGGTGACCTACGTCCCTGGGCTGTACAAGATTTTCGACGAGATCTTGGTGAATGCTGCCGACAACAAGCAGCGGGATCCCAGCATGGACGCTGTCAAAGTCACGATAAGCGTGGAGCAAAACACCATCTCCGTCTACAACAACGGGGACGGAGTGCCTGTGGAAGTTCACAACGAGCAAGGCGTCTACGTTCCGGAGATGATCTTTGGCCATCTACTCACAAGCAGCAACTACGACGACAATGAGAAGAAGACGACTGGTGGGAGGAATGGATACGGTGCTAAGCTCGCGAACATTTTCTCAACCGAGTTTGTGATTGAAACCGCGGATGGCAAGCGGGGTAAAAAGTACAAGCAGGTAGGCATCATCTTCTTAGCATAGCTTTATAGAACCTTGCTTATCGTTTCGATTTGATCAGGTGTTCTCTAACAACATGAGTGCGAAGTCTGAGCCAGCTATTAGCTCGTGCAAGTCCAATGAAAATTGGACTAAGGTGACTTTCAAGCCCGACCTCGCCAAGTTCCACATGACGTATCTGGAGGAGGATGTTGTTGCCCTGATGTCCAAACGTGTTTTGGATATTGCGGGCTGTCTTGGCAGGACTGTTAAGGTGGAGCTGAACGGCCAAAAGCTCCCAGTTAAAACGTTTTCGGATTACGTGGGGCTTTACCTTGCCTCCGCTCAGAAAGGCAAAGAAGAGACGCTTCCAAGGTTCTTTATATTTCTTCGAGTCCTCACTTGCTAACCTCAGTTTGAATTGCAGGATATATGAGCGTGCAAATGATCGGTGGGAAGTATGCGTGAGTTTAAGCGATGGACAGTTTCAACAGGTAAGACTGTCTTCTTTCTGGTTTGCTGCTTGCTGACGTTGATGTTCACCCAGGTTAGCTTTGTGAACAGCATCGCCACAATCCGGGGTGGCACGCACGTCCAGCATGTTTCGGAACAGATCGTAAGCCACATACAGGAAATTGTGAACAAGAAGAACAAAAATGCGAACGTGAAGGGTTTCCAAATCAGAAACCATCTTTGGGTCTTTGTCAATTCTCTGATTGACAACCCTGCCTTCGATTCCCAGACGAAGGAAACATTGACTACTCGTCAAACTAGTTTTGGATCGAAGTGCGAGCTGTCCCCAGAGTTTCTGAAGAAAGGTAATATTTGTCTCCGCATAATGCACTTCCTTACTAACGGATATCCAAACAGTTTCTAAATGCGGGGTAGTTGACAATGTTCTGTCGTGGGCGGACTTTAAGCAGAGTAAGGAGCTAAAGAAGAACGACGGTGCCAAGAGGCAGCGCCTAACTGGAATAGCCAAGCTGGACGATGCAAATGATGCCGGCGGCAAGAACTCCGAAGCATGCACTTTGATCTTGACTGAAGGAGATTCAGCTAAAGCTCTTGCTGTAAGCTCAGTCTTTGCTCTTTCAGCCTTCTTAACTTTTTGTTGTCTTCAGATGAGTGGCATCAGTGTGGTTGGCCGTAACCACTATGGTGTGTTTCCTCTCAGGGGAAAGCTTTTAAACGTTCGAGAGGCAACGCACAAGCAAATAATGGATAACGCTGAAATCACCAGCATAAAGCAGATACTGGGGTTGCAGCAGGGAAAAGGTTATGAAAATACCAAGTCTCTTCGTTACGGTCATTTGATGATTATGACCGACCAGGTACATTGCTTTGTTAGAATCGTTTCCTTTGTTCCTAGCAGTTGTTGCTCCAGGATCACGACGGGTCACACATCAAAGGTCTTATTATCAATTTCATTCACACGTTTTGGCCATCACTTTTGAAAGTTCCCGGTTTCTTGGTGGAATTTATCACGCCAATTGTTAAGGTTCGTCTTTTGATGACTAAACTATATCGAATGTTTCTTGCATATGCAGGCAACACATAAGAACGGAAAGGTACTATCCTTCTATACTATGCCGGAATACGAGTCGTGGAAAGAGTCCCTGAGAGGAGAAACCAAGGGTTGGAGTATCAAGTACTACAAGGTTTGCACCCTGTACTATTAGCGAGGCACAAACTAAAGGCTTGTCAACAGGGTCTGGGCACGAGTACAGCAAAGGAAGGCAAGGAGTACTTTCGAGATCTGGTCAAGCACAAGAAGGACTTCGCATGGGACAATGATGAAGATGGTGACTCTATAGAGCTAGCATTTAGCAAGAAAAAAACCGAAGCCAGAAAAATATGGCTGCGAGGGTACCAGGTACGTATTCTTGATGATATAGGAATAATTTATTAACTCTGTGACATGGGAATGCAGCCAGGGACATTTCTGGATCAAACTCAGCGGGTCATCACGTACAGCGATTTCATCAATAAGGAATTAATCCTGTTCTCGTTGGCTGATTTGGCAAGGTCTGTCCCGTCTATGGTGGACGGATTGAAGCCCGGACAGCGCAAGATTCTGTTTGCTGCATTCAAAAGAAATTTTACGTCGCAAGCTAAGGTAAGTTATGATTTAGTTTCAAGATGTAATGCATTCTTTTGCCTTATATTTGCAGGTAGCGCAATTTTCTGGATATGTCTCCGAGCATTCTGCTTATCACCATGGAGAACAAAGTCTCGCGAGTACTATCATAGGAATGGCTCAGAATTTCGTCGGTAGCAATAACATCAATATCCTTGCTCCGATTGGACAGTTCGGTACAAGGAGTCAGGTAATCCTATTTTCTCTTGTTTGGCACTGATTGAAAGCATGCATATCCAGGGCGGAAAGGACCATGCCAGTGCGCGTTACATCTATACGTCTCTAACTCCGTTAACACGTACTATATTTCCTAAACCAGATGACATTTTACTGAATTTTCTGAGAGAGGATGGACAGTCGATCGAGCCCTTCTGGTACGTAGTTCTTTAGACTTTTGAAATATTTTGCTGAGATTTTCTATCAATTGTAAAGGTATGCACCAATTCTTCCTATGGTGCTTGTCAACGGCTCTGAAGGCATTGGCACTGGGTGGAGCACTTTCGTGCCAAATTACAATCCTCGAGATATCGTTACCAACCTTAAGCATCTTTTGCGCGATGAGCAGCTGGAGCCAATGGATCCGTGGTACAAGGGGTTTAAGGTCGTCTTCGTCAGCAGAATACCGTGTGGTGCTTACATTTCTCCTCTTGTGCAGGGGACGATAGTGAAATCGGCAACCAAAGAATCTGGTGTCAGCTATACAGTGACTGGCATCGTAGAGCAAGTCAACGAGACTACTATACGTGTGCTAGAGCTTCCCATTAGAAAGTGGACTCAAGACTATAAGGAGTTTCTTGAAGCGTTGCTTTGTGGCACAGAGAAAATCAAAGAACCCTCTATTAAGGTGATGCTCTCATTCAACTCCCGCGAGTGTATTTTAACGTTTTGCTTTCAACATTCAGGACTACAGGGAGCATAACACTGATACGCGAGTGCACTTTGAAATTTCTTTATCCGAGGAAAAAATGGCTGAAGCTCTTGCAGAGGGTCTCACGAAAAAGTTCAAGCTGAGTACCACTATCAGCACCAGTAACATGAATCTTTTTGATAAGGACGGGCATATTCGAAAGTATGACACGCCCGAACAAAGTATCCTTTTGGCATGCATGGTTTCTAGCACTTGCTTTTTTCCTTGACATAAGATACAGTTCTGGAAGACTTCTACCATATTCGTTTGGAGTTGTACGTCAAAAGAAAGGTTTTTATATTTTTGAGCTTTGTAATCGTGTATTGACGAGCTTTTGTAGGAAGTGCAAGTTGAGAATTTGCAATACGAGCTACTGAAGCTTGACAACAAAGTTCGATTTATTCTCGGTGTTGTCAAAGGCGAAATTGTTGTAAACAACAGGAAGCGAGCCGAGTTACTAGTCGAGCTAAAGACCAAAGGCTTTACTCCGTTCCCTAAGAAGGCAAAAGCTTCGGACTTGCCTGTTGTCGGTGGTGATGGTTCTGACGTGGAAGCGGATGACGAAGAAAAACTGAATAAAGGAGTTCGTGCCGGTGATTACGAGTATCTTCTATCTATGCCAATTGGCACGCTCACTCTAGAGAAGGTTCAGCAGCTCTGCAACGAGCGTGATAAGCTTGAAGGTGATGTTGAAGAATTGAAGAAATGTACACCGAAGGATCTCTGGGAGAAGGACTTAGATAACTTCCTCGAACAACTGACGGTATGACGCTCTAATCACCTCGTTGCAAACGCTCATCAGTTGTATCCACAGGCTCAAGAGCTGGAGGAAGAAAAGGAAGACGAGCTTGAACTTAAGCAAATGGCCAAAGAAGGTGCTGCTATATTCAAGCGCGCTGCTGCTGGCCGAAAGCCTGCTGCGAAGGCAAAAACTGCAGACAAGGAAAATGCCGTGAAGCCTACCAAAAGTAAGTCCTTCATTGAACGCGCGAAATCTAACCTGAAAATATCATCCTGCAGAAGCAACTGCCGCGACGAAAGCTTCGAATGCTTCCAAGAAGGCAGCTAAACCAGTGGTATGACACGAGAATGCTCTTTTCCTTCTTTAATGTCTTTTGTTATTGGTAGGAACTGGACAGCGAGGAAGAATACTTCAACACAAGCTTACAGGATCGCCTTGCTGCTTACGCGAAAGGAAAAGGACCGCTAACAGGTAATATGGCTTGTTTTCTCTTTCCCTGGCAATGCACTTAAACATTCTGTTCTCCAGAGGACAACTCCATGGAGGACGCTGTCAAGGAAGTGTCCCCGCCAACAAAGCCTAATGCGCCTAAAGCTGCTCCGGTCGCAAAGAAGCGCGCGAATACCAAAGCCTCCAAAGCATCAAAAGCCACTGAAGATGTTGCGGCCCATGACTCCCCTGATGCGAAAGTAAGGAAGGTGCGGGCTTCTCCATTCAACAAGAAGAGTGGTTCCGTCATTCCTCAGCTTGCAAAGCTCTCCATCGAGGCAGAGGCCGACTCCGACGTCGAAGCAGCTCCTCAAGCAAGGCCGAAGAGACGAGCGGCTCGCCCGGCTGTGCACTACATCGAGAGCGACACGGAGGAAGACAAGGCCGCAAGCGAAGACATCTCCGACTTTGAGGACGAAGGATCAGAGTAAAGTCTGGTTCCCCCTCCCCGGTTTTCTCATTCTGCTCGTTTGGTGCTAACGAGTTTGCTGTACTGCTCTTAACTTTCTATGTTAAGGTGGAGGCTCCAGAAGAAAGGTCGTGTCATGGTACTGTGACTCGTATGGATTGTGTAATATCTCCATTGTTTTGTTCCAGACAATTGTTTCATGTCATTGATCATATAATGTTTTTCACCTTTTTCTTGTGTAAAAGGCTCCTCTACACATCAAATTTTTTCTTAAGCTGAAAGGCTTGAATTTAGAAATGCATCTCCACAAACTTACGATACAATCTGTCATTGATATAAAAAGAATTACTAAAAGTTTTTATAAATCCTTATTTGCATAGGAAGTAGTTTTTCCTCTACTAATTTATCACATTCAATTCTCAAAAAGAGGATTGGAAACGAAAACCAAAGTAACTCAAGTTCTCTAGCGAGGTTGTATTCGTTGGCTTTGTTGGGTCCTGTAAACATTGGAAAAAGGTGGTAAAAAAGAAACTGAAAATCAAAAACACATTACATACCTTAATCCTAATCGGTAAGACTCTACTAAGCTTTCAAGATGCCCCACCTCGAAGTTGAACAAATCCAAGGCACCTGATGGCGGCCAGTAGAAGTCAGACCCTAAAAAGCCGCCATTTGCCGCAACTTGTTTTGCCTCTCGCAGAGCCCTTACATAGTCCTCGCAGTCTTCGCTGAAATAGTTTTCCGACGGCACAGCAACATCCTCCCCCTCAAGCTTGTCTGGATCCACGAGAAGATGAAACGGCGTCAGGTGTATCATGACGAACTCTGGCCACTTGTGCACAAGCATCCGCGCGTCCAGCAGCAGCCGCGCATGCAACTCCTCGTCCTCAACTCTGCCGAACAGATCCATTTCCGCCCACGACGCGAGCCGGTCGCAAAGCTCTATAGCCCCCGGGCCAAGAATGGGGTTGGAGGGCCAAGGATGGCAGATCAAACTCTTTGCGTGATCGACGAAGGCGGCGGGGAACGTCGGCCACGGAGGACAGCGCTGATAGTAATGGTAGTATTGGCGCTGCTGCTTCACCTCTTGGCGGATGGCGTCCAGGTCCGGGACACCCGTTAAAGTCCAGTGGCGAAAATTGTTGTAGGTGAGATTGGGCTCTGCATAGCCCTCGTAACTCAGTTCCTCGATCTGGCCTTCGAAAAACACCAGTGGCTTGGGTGCCAGTGCTGTTACGGCATTGATCGGCCTGAGACGTGCTTCCTTACAAGCATACCTGAGCAGGCGCTTGATCCTATAGTCCATCCTCCACAGCGCGAAATCCAAAACCCCGTAGAAGCTCTCCAAGACGGTCCCCATAGCCATTAGCTAAAACCCTCGTTTATTGCTAACTAGCCCTAAGTGTTGTGTTCACCTAGAGGAATTGTACCAGAAAGATAATTTTAAGCTACAAAACATAGTACTTATTATAAATTCATACACCTTTCTTCCACCTTAACAAAGAAAGTTAAGAGCAACTCGTTAGCTTGAAGTAATCTTTGTCTCAATTACTGACAGATATCAAAAACTTTTATATTATAACTTTGTACCTGGAGATTTACGGTTAAACCAGAGAAGGATCCTTGCCAACGCATACACCACAATCTGGGTATATTTATCAGCATTATCGCGGCAAACTTGCCTCTCTTCTTCCGCGCACTCCCCCCTCCTTTTATTTCATTCTCTCCTCATTCTACTCCTGTTCCGCGACGAACGAAGAATGGGACGCAGCCAACAACGTAGCTCCAATCCCAGACCCATCCTTGGATAGCCTCAACTCTATGTGCTCTGCCGCCTCCTTGCCAATCAGCTCCACCACTGACTGCTTGAGATACTCTCGGAACTTGGGATAGTGCTCGTACAAACCACCATCCATCGCCACCACCGTCTTCTTCCTTTCCTCCGCCGCCGCGTACGAGTGGTTCTCCAACCCGCCATTGTTTGCCAAGGATCCACCGTCCCTCCCTATCTTCTTTAGGATACCGACAATCCCAGCGCCTGCCAGCCGGGCGCCACGCTCTGCGACGATGTCACACACATCCACAATCATCTTCCGCATCTGCAACGTCGAGCTTTGGATCTGGAAAAGGAAACAAAGATGGGAGAGATTTTACTATCCAGCAGCCGCACAAAGAAACCAGGACTTACCCCGAAAACCACTCTCAAAACCCGGATTACTTCCTTGAGGTCCGGGGATTGATCGGCGTGGATTGCAGACACATCCGGAGTCCTGCAACAATAGATTAGTAAGCAGCCAAAACTTCATGCAAAGAAGAGGTTACCTCAAAATAAAAGGGACTTCGAGCCTTGAAGGTACCTTTCCTCCAAAGAATGCCGCTTCGGCAGCCAGTTTCCACAACACTCTCCTCACAATGTCACCCAGGTACATTCCAGATATCATTTTCTCGAATATCTACAGTCAAACACAGGTAGGGTAGGGTAGGAATTGTTTTTGTGGTCATTTTCAAGCTTACCTGATCGCATGGGTTAACGCTGTCGGCATCCAAGGCGTCATCAACCTCAGTCTTTGGAAGGTGGGCCGACGTGAAACTTCCCCACTCCATATTGATGACCTGTTAAGAGTCTTGAACGTTTGCAAGAGTGAGTAAATAATGATTACCATGGATCCAGAGGCTGGTAACGGGCCTCGCCACTTTGGTATCGCGTCCGCTCGCTCCACGTAACAGGCATTACTTCCGGTGCCCAGTATTACCGCTACCATAACGTCATCGTCCTCGTATCTTCCCCCGGCCAACGTTCCCACAGTATCGTTCACCTATTTAAGCAATCAAACGCTTTCGTAAGGGAGGAGCACTCGAGGAGACTTACCAGAGCCGCAACTCGCATGTCTACGTTGCTACGATGCATTGCCCCCTGCAATTCCTCGACAACGTCTTTGCCAACCTACGCGATCCCGACATTAAAACTTGGAACGTTTTCACAAGACACTAACCGTCTCTGCGATGGCGAAACCTTTCGTCCACTTCATGAGCGTCCCGGAGTTGATTGACGTTTGCTTCACCGGAAACGAGAACGTAAATCCCAGCTCCCGCTGCTGTCCTGGGAGCAGATAAAAGCCCTCCCCTTCGCTGGCAACGAAGCTTGCTAGCTCTGTGGCAATAAAATCAAATAAATCCTGCGAAACACCATGCATGCATGGCAATTTTACACCAAAACCCCCCAAGCAAAGCAAACCGCATGAAGTACCTCGTTCGAGCCAACCATAACTTTGGGAGGTATGGACACTTCCTTGTACTCCTGGTTCATGATTCTCTTCTCCTTGCCACCCAATTGTACTCTGAGCACCCGGAAGTTCGTCCCTCCCAAGTCGAGCGCGTAGAACAGGCCTTCCTCGTTCCTGGGGGAGCCATAAAGCGAAATCGATAAAAAAACAAAACGAGAGATATCTAGGCCCGAGCAAAGGACAAACGAACTACGTACCCAGTCGGGAGATTGTCCACATAGCTTAGAACCATTTTGAGCTTGCTGCCGCCATCGATCGCAAGCCCGGCATGCATCTCCACGACCATGTTATCGACAATCTGCCGCAGCCGCGAGAGCGGGGTGGAGCAGCCGCCGCGGAACTCGTCGACGATGCATTGCGCCCTCTTCCAGCTCGTCCGCTGCCGCAAGCGCCTGTTGACGAAGAATGCCGCCGCCACGGCCGCGCATGTCGCAGCCGCGCAGGCAATTGTGATCGTCACCGCAGCTTTTCCCATCCCCCGGTATCGATAGCGTCGCAATCTATCCACAATCCCAATCCCCGCCGGCGATATTCCTCGTCCTCCACTCCCGCCCTGTCACGAGCTCCTCCCCCCAGTCCCTGGCGGCAAGAAATACCATACAAACCTAAAATCAGGCACAGATTTCACAGATTTCACAGATTTCGGGGCAAGAAAAGCATCGCGCAGCTCACCTCGTGATCGATCAAACGCGGCGGCGCCAAGAACAAGGCAAGAATCGATGCGGTGGCGGCGGTCAAGTCAGGGCTAATCGATGCGATCTAGCGTGACGACGAGGAGTGGGGATCGCGCGGCATGACGCCAGCGCCGTGCGCGCAAGAGAGAGAGAGGAGGAAGAAAAACCTAGAGAGGAAGAAACGAATGAGAGGAGAGAAGCTTCCACCTCATGGAAACCCGCCCCTCAATCGCCGGACTTGACACCTTGCCTTAAACATTGGGCCGTCGTCCCAAACTTAGCCGGTGGTCACAAATTCGTACGGCGCACGTACGGCACATTATCCAGATTTATTATCCGCTCTTATCCGGATTACTCTATTTTTAAGCCTGCTTTACAGAGAAAAATTTTAACTGCGCCGCAGTCCGGTTATTGTCTTTTTTTCTCGTTTTTTTACTTCTCCTTTGCCGTGAAGGATTCGCCGCAGCCGCAAGTGCCGGTAGCGTTGGGATTTAGAAACACGAATTCCGACCTGCGAGGATTGAGAGATCTTAGAATTGGAGCTGGGATTTCTTGACAACTTTGGAACTTTTCTCTCGTCCAGGAAGAACTTCAAACTTACTTGAGACGATCTTCGATGAAATCCATCTTGGTGCCGATGATCTTCATCAGCGCTCGCGGGTCGATCAAAACCTTGACGCCTTTGTCCTCCACGAGCTCATCGTGGCGCTCGGCTTGATCTGCAAGAGGAAGATAAGCTTTTCTCTCTCTCTCGCAAGAAAAGGAAGAGAAGCAGAGGACTGAGGCTTGCCTGCGTAGTTCATGGTGTAGGAGTAGCCATTGCATCCCCGGACCTTGACACCCACGCGCAAGTAATCTTTGTTCCGCAAGTCTAGCAATTGCCGGATCCTCTTGGCCGCGCTGTCGCTCAGCGCAATCGCTTGCTTCTTCCGGGACGAGGAGGCTTGCCTCAATCCCTCCCTGGCGGCGCACGCTGCTGCCATTCCTGACCTGCGCTATAGAAGAAAGCCCTTCCCAGTGAGTCACAAGCGCGAGATCGCCGCTCTCTCGCTTCTCCTACGTCGAATCGGTCACAAGATTTCAAGGGAGCTGTGGAGCTAACCTGAACATAGCCTCCGCATCATCCTCGCCCCTCTCGCGCCACAAGCCCTAAAATCGCACAAACCCTAGGAGACGAATATTCCCTTTTATTGCTAACTACATGTTTTAATCTGGATTACAGAGAAAAGTTTCCCAATTGAAGAATATGCTTGGATCATATATTGGATAGCATTGAATATACCCATATTATC